GGGGGTTCTGTTGGTGTTTTTGTTGTTGTTGTTTTTTTAAATTACTAAGAACATGAGTTCAGAAACCAAAATATGTTCTGTCTTCTCTATAAAAATTGTAAGAATATTCGGAGTCGTTATCAAGATGTTCAAAGAATTGCATTCGGAAAAGCTTGACATTTTGTGAAACTCAAAGATTTTGACGTCAAATTTCTCAAAACTAGGTACTGAGCAGATACGAGCTTTTTTCCATTCTTTTCCCACTGTGTGATACTAGAGACTCGTTCAACTAAAATACATGTTGTGTTTGTTTTGTTCTGTTGTTTTTGTGTGTGTGGGGGGGGGGGTTGTTTTTTTGTGTTTTTTTGTTGTTGTTGTTGTTGTTGTTTTCAGATAAAAATGTTGACTGACAGAACCGATTTTTATCAAACATTTTATAAATGATTTGGTTGATTAAAGAAAAGAACATGTGTATATATGGATCTGTACCAACTGTTAATAAGCAACGTTTTCTTTTTGTCTTTATTCAACAATAACAGATAGGAATAAAGTTGAAAAAAATATTGCTTGAAAAAAGACAAATCAGGATTGCCATACAATTATAGCCCCCTTGTGCTTAAAAGCGACCAATTGTTGTTTTTTAACTTTCACTCATGCACATATTACTATGATCGCTTTTAAGCACAAGGGGGCTATCCCGAAAAATGCTGTTTTGAGAAAATCGAAGGTAATGTTTTTGGACCCTAGTTCAGTTTCTTTAAAAGATAAGGACAGTTTTCTCCTTAAACAAACAAATATACACACCAATGAAACCAAACTTCTCCCATTAGTAGGGCAATGCTCACTTTTGGTGTAGGTCAAGATTTCTGGAAACCTCCGAAATCTGGGTTAGCCCGCTTGTCCTTAAAAGCGACCATATTATGTGCTGTTTTTTGGGTCAACCCTGTATTTCTTGCTGCGGACCACACATAATACGCCATATTGCCACTAAAACCCTCAAGTCTATTATTTTCTCAAGAAAACTTTTAACCTAATCGCAAAACTTCAACTTCAACAGCGCGCGCGCGCCCGTGTGTGTGTGTGTGTGTGTGTGTGTGTGTGTGTGTGTGTGA